ATCACACAAACAATCAAATTCTCAGACTGCAATCTGCTGAGTAGGTTACGTTCTCGCACACACAATCCTTGGTTGCTGTCAAGTGGTTACCTATTTGTTCGACCACTGCAAAAGAAGTAAATGGGGAAACATCAATATCGAAGAAATTAACAAAGATACCGAGACAGTATTTGAGCAAACTTGATACAGCCACTCGTTATCAAACCCTTTTGAGTAACCGGCCTGAACGTGCTGTCATTGGCAATATCATCCCCAAAGCTGACTTGGTACAGTATCTTGGAGCTACTTTGCCACATACTATTTCTTGGTCCACACATGTTGAACACATTTGCATTAGGGTTTGTAGACTATCCTTCTACGTTTTCAGGCTTCAAAAGCTCCGTGTTCCCCTAGATATAATTCTTAAATTTGTGATTGCCCACAGTTTTCCATACTGGATGTACTGTTCCTCCTTCTTATTTTTTCCTGATCTAACAGAGAAAGACATTATTTTCTTTTCCAAATTTCTTAAACTGATTTCCGTTGCAGTGGCATTTGAAAGACCGTTTTCGTTTTTTTATTTTGAGGAAGCATTTTGAATCATACGATAGATTTATCAGCCATATACTGTTAAATGAAGAACACTGCCTGTATGCCCATTTTAACAAATCGGTGTCCTCGTCCCGTGTACGCATTCCGAATTTGGGTTTCTTTGTGCACATACTACCGCATACCAAAAACATCATCCCCCATTTTGCTCGTAGCCACATCAACCGAGCAAATACCCTTATTGGCTTGCGAAATCACCAGTCACATTAGGATTTTATCACATTCATTTTTTTACATTTAGTAAATGTACAATTTTTTCCAATGCTTAACGTTTTCCTTACGGTAACTTGTCGAAATTGCGGAAAATTCATCTCAATGGGTGCATAAAGCTTAATCTGACTTGACTTTTGTCCCGAAAATGGGTTGATGTAGTCATATCTCACATTCTGCTTTATCATCAACCAGAACGGTTCTGAGGTCCGCAAACGAGAAATCGAACGCGATTTGATTAACCTAGTTTGCCCCTTGGTGAGGGTTTTCATACTCTAATCTCCGTGGTGTCCGACATCTTTTATCTATCTTTGCAAGCGCTACGTTCCGTAAGAACCTATTTGATGTTCTTAGCAACACGTGAACCGGCACGAACAATCTGCGCAGAGATCAGTCAATGGTGTTTGCTAGTGATGATCGCTTTCAAACGCCCATCGGCCTTCGAAATGGAACTGTCCCATTGCCTGTCAGTTCAACCACCAGCCGAATGACTCAACAAACACTGGAAGCAAATCAAGGAAGCTTTGCAAATATCGATCAAAACAACGGATCCTGCCACAAGCTCAAAACACAAACGATGGATCTTGTCGACCTCGGCTATCCTGCTGGACGCTAGCAGAACCCTCCCTCCCGATGCCACATATGACATAGAGCGCAAATCCCTTAAACGTCAGCTCATCAATAGTCTGAGGAATGACCGCGAAACGTGGTGGATAGGAAAGTGTAAAGAGATGGAGAAAGCTGAGGTTATTGATAAAAATCGCAATCTTTTCCATCTGATTAGGAATACGGGTCCTAGGAAAATAAGCATGGGTGCGGTAATTAAGGAATCTGATGATAGACTGGTGCGCCAACCGTAACACCATTTTGATCGATGGGCTGAACATTTCGGGGCTGGCCCTCATCGACATCTGACCTATCATCTCCTCCCCTCCCCCCTTCCACCTCGATTGGGCAAATACTCCCAGTTGATGCCAGTCCTCCACCTGAAAAGGTTTCCCGAGAAATAACCTGTCTCAAAAGGTATAAGGCCTGGGGCCCAAATAGACTGTCTCCATCGTTTTTAAGGATGGAGATTAAGTTTTGGTTTCGGAGTTAATGAAACTCCTGAACTCAGTGTGGGAGAGAGTAGAGATTCTAACTGAATGGTGTGAATCGGTGATCATATCGATTTGCTAGCTACAGAAGGTTCGGTTGGTATTCACCAACTTGATACATCTGTGACACTGCCGTGACATCCGAGTGTGCGTGGTGGGTGAAATACATAATACAGCTGCTCGGTCAGTTCTCCTATACAGCGCAGTAACTTGGTTATTAACAATGTCGTTGTTCGAACACCGCTGTCTAAGCAGCATTGCACGAATTCGATAGGACAGCCGGACGAGCAATGCTGAGGTTAGGTAGAAAGATTTAGGCAACCGCGGTCGCCCAGTGGAGCAAGTGATCCAACTCCATAGGTCACGCTGGTTGGGGCATGTGTTACGTATGTCCGCAAATAGATTACCACGGCGAGTGATGGTTGCTGAGGCAGGTAGTCAATGGAATAAAGCCAAGCGTTGCCAAACTATAACGAGGGTATGAAAATCGCAATCAGGAGACTCGATCGCCCAGGTCTATTTAGGCACCCTCGATGCGGACCTCGGGAGTGACTAAACTGATCCTTCCGTGGATCTGATTTACGGAACGCCTCTGTCCTTTATGTTAAACCTATAGTTTTTACCCTGTAGTCTCATTATGCGACCTAAGTTTATCATATTCCCCACTCCGATTCAAACAAATTTCCATGAAATCCATCATTAACTTCCCTACCCCCGGGGTGAATATGCATACGTATGCGTATGTTGTATGCAAATATCCCATAAGTTGATGAACCACCAGAGCTTGCCAAGGTAGTTTGTTCGTAAGATGGTAACCCTAAGAAGTTGGATACCAATTATGATGGAAAATATTGTATCTTTTTCGAATAACGAATCGCATTTTCATTTCAGTAAACGATTAGCACAAACAATTCCCCAGTGACATACTACCGTCAACAGGCTCCCGTATTTTGGGCCGGAGGTTGACTGACTGACTGACTGAGGCGTAGGGAACGTGAATTGTATCGATGATTGACGTATATTGTGCAATCGGAGCAGTTATTCGCCTCTCGCCTCCTCACAGCATCAGAACTGGGGTGATATTTTCTCTTCCCCCTCACAGACATGCGTCTACAGTGTGGCAAAATTGACCATCTTGATTGTGATAGACACACAGATAGACAAACAGACAGACGGACGGACAGACAGTTACGAAGCAACCGTTGTAGGAATCAAGAGCACAAATGTACTATAACAACGCTATCAGTTCACAGAAAAGTACACACGCACACAAGCCGGTTTTCTTGGATTATAT